TATTGGGTCATCTAAAAAGTATCCGCGGTACTTTGTCACTAGATATATGACCATCAACACACATCTAGTGACAAAAAACCGCGGATACTTTTTATATGAACCAATATATTAATAAATATTATTAATATTTGAAAGAAAGGATTTGCAAATTTCGTATTTAATATTTTTTGTACAATATGTAATTATTGATTTTTTATTTTTTCTTCTTTCTAATATTATATATTATATATTAATAATATTTACATAATAATATATTTAATAATATTTACGTTTTCGAGAACTTTTAGAAGATTATGGAGATGAAGAGATCTCATTGTAAGTGTTACTACTGTTATTGCCGTTGCTTGAAGTAGGACTGGCAGGGGATAATATTGGGTCATCTAAAAAGTATTCGCGGTTTTTTGTCACTAGATGTGTGTTGATGGTTATATATCTAGTGACAAAGTACCGCGGATACTTTTTAGATGACCCAATATATTCTTGTTTTGAAGAATCTAAAATTGGCGTCACCCATGGTTTTTGTCTAAATATCTCATCCATCTAAACAAAAATATAAATCAGGTTTGTTGTATTTTATATTTTAAAACTAAAAAATGAAAATATACCAAAACAGAACAGCAAGTTACGATAATATCAAAATGACATTAAAATGAATCAAAAATGATTGAAAAATGACTTTTAATGATCATATTGGAATCATTTTGACATCATTTTAATACTATAGTTGTTCTGCTTGGATAAGGAGCGGTATATTTATACATCGTGCAATTTTGTGTGTGTGTGTGAGATACACACACACATACACACACACATACGCACACACAAAATTATATACCTCAAAATAAGGCCAAGTCCGTTTGTTGTTACCGCTTTTGTTATTGTAATCCTTAACATTTTTGTAAGTTTTCTTTAAGCCGATTTTATTTTTACATTGTTGTCCTGTAACGTCATATGCCTTTTCTTTTAACTTGTTGGATATCATTTTCCAAAATTTCTTTAGAGATAATTTTCCTGTATGTAATAAATTTTCATGCTGTTTATATGTTGCTAAAAATAATCTTGTAGGTTCATCCGCCCATATAAAGCTATCTAAAATTAAACATTATACATATCTAGATCTCGTTCTGATATATACATTTACCAGTACTGAAAATCTATAACTCATATATGAAAATATATGAAAATAATATGCTTTCATGTTATGTATACTACATATTTTCAGTATCAGTAGTGTATATTGGAATAAATTCAGGAATGGGAGGGGGGGAGGGGGGAATAAGTAACACCGCTATTTTTATCGTTCTTTTTTATAATAATAATTTGATAACACCATTACAATTTTTATTCGATAACTAACTAAAAGCTAAATTCAAGAAAGTCAATTTTTCGATAAATATTTGTAACTGTTATATGTTATTTATTACAAAAAAGTAACTTGATACTTATTAAGAATAGTAAATACAAAAATATAACATACAATACTGGCTTAGATTTATAATTATAGATACTGAATTGATGCATATTAACATCCACAATTATTACTTTCCTTTTTTTTTCATTAAGAAAAAGAAAGAAAATAGCTGTGAATGCTAATACATGTCAAACCAATGTCCATGGACAACACCTGAACCCTATACCTGTCATGGAACAAGTCAGAATGGATTCTAATCGAAATTATCCAATTATTCTGTAGATTTCCATTATGTTTTCTAGAGAAAACAGAGTAATTCCAATCGGAATCCATTTCAACTTGTTCCTTGATAGATATCCAGGGCTATACATATACATACAAGTATATTCATACGTATCATTATAAACTTCATTATCAGACAGTATTTCTTGCTACACAATATTTTCATTATTTTTTTTCTCTTTTGCCTTTTCTAATAATGAGTACAATATACTAAATCTAAAAGGAAAGACACCAAAGTTTGAATATATTGTAAATTATCTTAAAATCTTTTTGTATATAGCATTCCTAACCTTTTCTATTTCGTGCATATCGAAAGCATAGAAAAAGCAGAATAAAAATATTTAAAAAATATTTAAAAAATATTTAAAAAATATTTAAAAAATATTTAAAAAATATTTAATCTTATGAAGCACAAAGATATTCTTCTTCAGTCAGGTTAAATATATAAATGTTACCGGTTTCGTTATCTGTAATTTGGTATTGCATTTTGAAAATCTAAATAAGGTTGTCGTGAAAATGATTTCCCGCCAAATATCTTAGAACGCTGCAGCTAACCTACCTCCCGAGATGAGGCAGTTGGAGCGAAGCGGGAGCGAAAACGATGACTTACTATACACTTTTGCTATGGACTTTTTAATGAAATTAATTAATTTAAACGCAATTATTAAGTAAATCTGGTTAAAAAAATAAGAGTATTATTAAAAAAATAAGAGAATCGATAAAGTATGCATAAAAATAAGTTAATATATTTTTAAAAATTCATACTGTTTGAGATCGGTAATTAAAAAAAAAAGGGTAAGAATTCTTTCGGTCGACCGACAGTAATTGTTATTGAACGCACGCACAAGGCGAGCTCGTGATTTCATCTCGAGCCTGACATTAAGCCTCGTCAAAGTCAGGGATTCATTGTTCTTTAGTCTTTTCAAAACAATTCGGTTCACGCAAACAGACACCGGCAACGGACCATCGAAAGTTCTAGAACAATTCAATTCGCGCACGCGAGCGCCGCGCTCCGACGAATACGTCACGCGCTGTCACCAATCCCGCGTACAGATTTTCTGTCGCGCATGACTGTTACGTCGCTAGAAAAGAATCGAAAGCGCCAATCAATTTTGTACAACCAATGCCACGTGATAATTACGATTGTGGCAAAATTTAATTGGACTTCTCCCAAGAAGAAAGCCCGGACCGGAAGCAATAAATGCTTCGATCTCGCCGGTCCGCGAAGCAGATTGCTTAAATAGTTTACACCGCTTATACCGTTTACACCGCTTAGAGTTCTTAGACTTCTTAGAGTTCGTACTTCTAAAAGTTCTTCGAGTTCTTAGAATCATAGTCTCGCTACTATACCGCTTCGTAAAATCGCCGTGCTAACCGCTTAGTGAAATCGCGATAAAACGAATCTTTCCGAGAAAATCGCCGAGATTTTCCATCACCGCGATTCCAAATACAATTTTGGAAAGGGTGACCGCATTTGATATTTTGTTAATCTAATATTTAATTAATTATATTTTTTGACTCTGTAACTGATTATATTAAAGAAAATTCTTTTGTTAAATTAAAAGAAACGGAGTTCTCTTTACTGTCGTGCATCATATCAACCTTGTGCCGTTCTCTCACTCGAATTTTTCCGCGCGGTGCGCTCTCGCACACATACTAATGTCAGTTTGTCACTAGTCCGTGCCGCAAACCGCGCGTAAACCGCGCTCCATGTAATATTAGCAGAAGAAATAGGCGGTACGTGGTACGCGATTTCCTAGTTGCCTAGTTAATTATTATTAGTTATTGTACCGCGTATCGCGTACCGCGCTCCATGTAATCGCACTCTCAAAGTACGTTACTCGAGTTGAACAAATTTGGAACGTGAAAAAGTAAGGGAGATGAAGTCGTTAGAGATGAAGTCATTATGATATGTATATTATATGATATGTACATACAGATATTATATATACAGATCATATATTATGTTAATAATAAAGTTTTTTCTAAATAAGAAAGACAGTTAATATTAAAATCACATCATTTATATAATGTCTTAATCAATGTATGTCAGTCAATAACCTTAAATGTTTTTCAACAACATACACAGGTGACACTGTGTAACACTGTGTTGTGGCTGTTGGAGCGACTGCTGTGCAATATGGCGCCGATGGTTACCAATCAAAGACGAAGGACAATTGGTGGGAAATCGTTAGGTTGAGAATGAGTGCTACTCACTGCTTCTGATTTTTATGCCATAAGACGATTTAATACAAACTTGATTAAACTAAATACTAAATACAAATATAGATTAGAAAATAGAGACGTGATTGCGCGTGTAAGACGGCTCGGATACCGGCATTGTGTCGCGGAGTTATAATACAAGAACTATGAAAATACACTCTAAGTAATTATTCGACGACGCTAATAATTATCACAGACATGAACGGTGATCGATATCGGTCTCGCGGAATACACAAAGTAATTCGGAACCTTAACTTCTGAGTTCTAATTTATTGACTATCGCAGAGACTTACACGAGGTACGCACGCGGCATGCCATAACACCAGAGAGAGCGAACGGAAGAAGAAGCGGAAAGAACGATCACATCAGCGCCGCGACGGACGCCGCCACTGGCGCTCGCAGCGCCGCAGCTAACGTTCGCAGCGCCTCGACCAACGCTCGCAGCGCCTCGACCAACGCTCGCAACGCCACAGTGTCTCACACAAAGTGTTCCAACTATAACACTGTTATACTGCTCGACACAGTAAAACGCTAAGTACGAACGTGTAAAATATGTCATTGTTACCAACTTTATAAAAAGTTCCTTTATAAAAATTGCCAATTCTGAAAAAATTATAACTTAAGTTTAAATAAAAATCATAAATTTATTATTGATACTAAATATAATTATAAGAATAGAATGGAAGACTGCAATGCATTCTGATGTTACACTATGAAACTAAACTACGTTTTAACAAGTACTTTACATAGAGAAACACAGTGTAACGTCTCTGTGTCCTAGCTGGAAAACAGCTCTTAGTATATCTCCTTGATTTTTGAGAAAATTAAGGTTATTTATTGAATGACTCATTTTTCGTTATACACGCGCGCGCGCGCACACACACACACACACACACACACACACACATGTACGTACATATAATATTATATTTAATATTTTATTTAGTACAAAGAGATAAACTATATATGTACGTACATACATCTAATCTTGATACAAGCTTTCGAATCATATTCTTTACTTACCTCTCATGTTCATTACCCACAATGAATCATTTTCTTGTAATGGTGTTCCGTTATTATTAGTTATTAATATATGCACATCCTTAATTAATTTTAGAGCTATTTTAGTATCTTTATATGTCACAAGTAATAATAGGTATATCTTTCATACGTTAAATTTCGTTTACCGCACTTACTCCTTCAATTCACTTCGGAAGCAGGATTCATAAAGTTGACTCCGAGGTAGATTATTTATAGTTTTGGAACGAATAGACTCTCATATTGTCAGTAACCTTGCGTTTTGGAGCGGCAGAATTAACTCTGTTATTCGGAGTCTAGTTTTGGAACGTATCCCTGAAGATGCGATTACATGGAGTGCGATACGTGGTACGCGGTATAGTAACTAATAGTAACTAAGCAATTAGGAAACCGCGTACTGCATACCACCTATTTCTTTCACTGATGATTCGCGGTTTGCGGCATGGGTTAGTAACAAACTCACATTATTATACACTGTTATGCACTTTTTGATGGAATTAATTGATTTAAACGCAACTATTAAATAAATCTGCTAAAAAAATAAAAATATCGATAAAATGTGCACAAAAGTAAGTTAATATACAATGTTAAAAAAAATTCATACTGATATGAGTTTGTCACTAGTCCGTGCCGTAAACCGCGCGCAAACCACGCTCCATGTAATATCAATGAAAGAAATAGGCGATACGTGTGGTACGTGGTTTCCTAGTTGCCTAGTTAGTTACTATTAGTTACTGTATCGCGTGCCGCGTACCGAACTTCATATAATCGCACCCTAAGTATTCGTTGTACGTTGATAGTGGTTAATAATGTTATGGAAGCACAATAGAACAATGACTGAGTGCTTCGGCGCGTTGTGATTCAAGAATTGTGTCCAATTAGTCATTATCGCCATACTTCGGATTCGATTCCGAGTTACACAAGCGCAAATGCAAATTTCATCCCCACACCTGTGGCACGTCCGCCATAGTTGTTTTCTCTTTCCTGATCCTGCTTGCACTCTTATGAAACATCCTGAGTACGATCTTCGACTGCGCAGATGGTATACATCCCTGCGTAAACGAATGATAAACTGCGCTGCAGTCGCTTTTGCAGGCAGAATAAATGAACGACATCTGCGTAAACAGTAATTGCATAAACGAACGCATAATTGTTCATTTTGTCTTTCGGAAGCTGCTCGGAATCGCTCCGAACGAATCCAGCGTACTTGAAATGCAGGATTCACACTGCATGTGACATCCGTCATACGACATAACGATGAATATCGAACGTTTCAAGTATGTTGGGTTCGTTCGGGGCGATCCCGAGCAGCTCCCGAGAGACAAAATGAACAATGCTATAGAATTAATTCCAAGGATACTTAATTCTGGCCTAGTTTCCACCGAGGGTTTAATCCGGATCAGAATGTAAGACCCAACCAACTACAGTACTGAGTATTCACCTGTTACAATCGAACGACAGAGGAATGTTTGACTGTAGTTGGTTGGTTCTTACATTCTGATCCGGATTAAATCCTCAATGGAAACTAGGCCACTTTTGAAACAAATAAACTCCGCCTATATGGTTAGTTACTTCATATTTTGGAACAGCATTAGAGTTAACTTCATTACTTGGAGTCGAGTTTTGGAACGCACCCCTGAGTGGAGTCTTCAAAGTGGATTCACATACAAGCGTCAAGCAGCGGAAGCATCAACCAATTAGTTGGGCAATATGGGCAAAATATTTTTTACGTAAAAATCGCCTCTTTGATTGGTTGCTGCTTGACGCTTGTATATGAATGTACCTTGTGCTTTAGTTTTCCTTTCTAGTGCCATCTCGTAGGACGCTGAGAAGCAGCATCAAACGTATCACGTGATATAACTTATAGTAATAGAACCGGAATAATCTATCCAGGCAATGAGAATGTCGTCATATGCATAACTTGTGTAAGCGCAACTTGCGCCAATCAACATATCGTTTTATTTGAACATCAATTTCCGCCTAGTTACGTATGCTTTTTACGCTATTTTGTTGTTATGCCGAAATATGGTGAAATCACCATATTTTATGCGTCGTATCTAATTTCTGATTTATTTTAGCTTATTCTGTCTGAAAAAATGCACATGGGTTTTGACTTTGCAACAGTACAATTATAGAAGTCTCGCCCCTTTGCAGGGAGGGGGAGGGAGGATGAGAGTCGCTTCGCGTTATGGTTCATAGACAGAGACGGCGGAGATTTAAAGAGAGATGCTTGCAAACTAAGCACATTATCCCTTCAACCATGCTTCGCATGGAAAGTCGAAACCAGTCATTACCCATGTGAAACAGTACAATTATAGACCTCATTTTGCCTCTGTGACAGATTTCCTAATCTCAATGGTCATCAACTTTAACGCTTAATATCTCAGATCACAGAGCACATCAACGTTTTTTTTTTTTTGCTAGATTCTTTTCATGCAAAAACGCGTCGAATAAGCCTATTTTCATTTGATTTTTGAGATTGCTAAATTGAATAATTATCCATTTTTTATATATATAAATGTTTATTTAATATTTTTATATTAAATAAATTATAATTATTTAGAACAGCTGCTTCATCTCCGATTTTAACGAAATTCGATTCATTATTATCTTTTCAGATTCATTCGATCATCCGCTCATATATACATATACGCGATAGAAAATATCGATTCCTCATCAGGCATACTTTTCGAGATACGTAGGTTACGAAAACCAATTGTAAATTCGTTTAGCATTTCTATTACGAGCGCACAACAGAAATTCTAATCAGCAATTGATTGCATTCATTCCGCATTTCTTTAATTTTCCACAAAATACGCCCAAGTGAATGCCAGCTTTTAGAATAGCGTATTCTAGCAAATATTGTAAAATATTGGGTCATTTAAAAAGTATCTGTGATTTTTTGTCACTAGATGTGTGTTGATGGTCATATATCTAGTGACAAAGTACCGCGGATACTTTTTAGATGACCCAATATAACGTATTCTAGTAAAATTACTAGAATACGTAAGAGACAGAATGAGAGTGTAGACTGTATAGAAAGTTGATCTTAAGTACAAAATATGCAAGCAAGATGAAGGGAATTAATTTAATTCGATTGTTATTTATCAACATAATAATTGTTTTTGTATTATTCATTACAGAGCCGCCAAAAGAGAGAAGACAAATTAAAAACGTTATGGAAGAGTTCTTAGCTAATATTATGGCAGAAAAAGAAGAAAGAAAAGAAGATATTAGAAAACGGGAGGCAAATAAAGAAAAAAGGCGCGAAGAAAACAAGAATGAAACAGAAAATATAAGGAACAAATGGAAGTGCAGAAGTTATTAATATCAATATTACAACAATTTCTTGACAAAATATAAGCTAAGTTTAAAGTTGAGCATTACTAATTGAAGCCTTGAAAGTTTTTTGTTTTATATTGGGTCATCTAAAAAGTATCCGCAGTTTTTTGTCACTAGTGGTGTTGATGGTCAACACATAGTCAACAAAAAACCGCGGATACTTTTTAGATGACCCAATATATTATGAGCTACTCAAACGTCCGAAACCATCACTCGCGATCGTTATTGGTTACAACTGATACGTTTAAATCAAGCTTTCTTTGAAAGAAAAACGACCGGATTGAGACAATAGGCACAACAAGCTGATTCTGTTACATGATGACGCTAGGCCACACGTTGTAAAACCGGTCAAGAAATACTTGGAAGGAGTAAAGTGGGAAATTCTGCTCCACCCGCCGTATTCACCGGACATTGCCCCTTCAGATTTCCATTTGTTCCGATCCATGCAATCGGCCCTTTCTGGAGAACGATTCAATTCTTATGAAAGTATCAAAAAATGGCTTGATGAATGGATCGCTTCAAAAGAATCAGATTTTTTTCATTCGATGAATCCGTTTATTACCGGAAAGGTAGGAGAAAGTTGTCGTTTCCGAAGGAGCATACTTTGAATAAACTCACTTATATAGATTTGTTTAAATAAACACATTTTTTTCATTTAAAAAGGGCGGAAACTTATTTCCGTACCCAATATTTTATAATTTATTTTATCTTAATTATGAGTTTTAAGATGTTAAATCTCAAAGTTACGTAATGTTATGTTATTTTATTTATGAATAATATGTTATTCCGCTTACGAATAATAATAATAAGGCTCATCCATCAATTTATTTAAAAAGAAATGTTTATTTTTTTGAAACGTGAAAAATATTTTTAAAATGTGGAAGAAGTACAAATGTATTGTAATACAATAAGTCTATTCGCATTGCTAATGTTTTTGCACTCACAACCTTTGCTTCCTCTCGCTTCAACTCTTGATTATAAATTTATCTCTTGTTAAGTTTGCCAAAAATTTTAAGAATTTCAAGCAACTCGAATAAACCTACTATAAGACTGAAATATAATGTAAGAATAGTATAATATGAATAAAAATTAAATTGTAATTAATATCTGTTTATTAATTAAAAATATCTGTTTATTAATTAAAAATATTTCAACAATTTTTTTGGTTTTGAAAAGAATATTTTTAAAATGTTCATTATTGATTATTATATTATATCGATTAGTATTCATTCATCAGTTATTGACGAACTTCATTTGCAATGCATTATTCTTATTCTTTTAATATTTTCCGTATTACTATAAGTAGTATCACTACAGTATTATCACTACAAATAGGTGCCTGTAATTCTTCATAATGTCGGACGCCAACAGTCATTACATCATTTTGTAACATGCAAATATTGTGTAACACGCAATACGCTATTATGAATTCTGGAATTTTTTTGACATCTGTCAAAGATAGACAATCTAAAAGTATTCTGAAACATATTTCTAATTGTCCAATCGCATGTTCAATTTCCACCCTTGTCGATGATAAAGAATAATTAAAATTTTTTTATCGGTTTGACAAATGGCTATTGTCTCGAAACGGGACCAAGAGGTGCGGATAAATTGCATACGCAGCATATCCGATAATATGAGAGTCATTAGGCATCTCTAGAAAACGTGCTATTGGGGAGTTTCGAAAAACTTGAGGATCGTGAACTGATCCTATTTCTCCTGCATAGCAGTGCTTAAAAAGGCCATGTGAATCATATACTAGTTGGACATTTAAGGATGGAAAATCTTTCCGATTTATATAAAAAGTTGAATGAATTAGCGGAGCTCGAATTTTAATATGTGTTCCATCTATGGCACCGATGACATTTGGAAAAGTCTTTTCGAAACATTCCATACATTGAAAGCAACATCTTCTTTAGGCCACTGTATAAATCGAGATGCAATACAATAAAGTGCATAAGTAGCACGTCTTACAGTCCTAAAAGCAGTTGCTCTGCCAACTCTGAATTTGAGACAAATTGATATGTAACAGTCCAGAAAAGTAATAGATGATTATTCTATTTTTTTAGAATATAAAAATATAATATAATATAATAGGATAATAGAATGTAATAGGATAGAAACATAATAAGAATATAATAAAATATAATGTAATATAATATAATATAATACACTACTCAAAAGAATTCTATAAAGTTACACAAACATACATGAAGATGCATTAAATACAATATGATAATACAAACCTATATGAATCAGGAGTAGCCATAAACCAAAGAGCAATATATAATTGCTTTTCTGCTGGAATTGGTTTTCTACCAATTGTGGTTCCTATAGCATTTAATGCTGGTTCAGTGATAAAACCATTTCAAATGTAACTGGATATAGTCTAGAATATAAGATCATGATTTTAATAAAACCAAATGAATAACGTTACAATTTTATAACTTAATGACATTTATATTAAAATATTTATTATATCTAAAATATTATTTAAACGTAACTTTGTTATAATTACGCGATCGACGTAATCTGTAATTTTTTCAATTTCAATTTGTTTTCCACGTGATTTATCTACCATTAATAGAAAAAATAACGTCTGCATAGAGATATGTTTTCGACTTCATTTTCACTATCGCTCGATTCGGAACTATCATCGGAATTTTCATCATTTTTCTTTAAAAATATTAACGAAGAAATTACAATTACTGGAAATCGATTATTGACGTCTTATATAGCGTCCATCTTGAACTCGCATAGGAAATCGTTCCAAATAACTTCATGCGCATTAACTAAACGAAACGATTTCAAAGCATTACGCACCAGTAATGCAGTCTATGCGTTTCATGCGCAATTCGGTACATACCCAAGATGTATTTCTGTTCTGCTCAGTGACTTTTCTTTTTTTCGCGCATGTATCAAGTGAGGCGTGGTTATCGCGAGTTCTCTCTTTAATTTATTTTATAAAACATAAAATAATTGTAAACTGTATATTAAAGAAGAAAGATTGAAGTTATATTGAATGAAAAGGAAAAATCACTTGATAAGATATAAGAATATATGTATGTTGAATTATACAGAATATAACTCGAATTATAAAGAGTATATAAAAAAAGTACAATTATGTCAATTATATACGAGATATAGTAATCATTTATATCTTGTATATAATTGACATAATTGTACTTTTCTTATATGTATAATCACTAAAAACTAAAAACAATACTTATAAATAATTAATTCAAAAGAAATTAAAATGGAAATTAAAAATACTTTTAAATTTACTGATGACAAAAATGTATCATTTTTTAATATTTAATGTATTTTTTTTTTTCAGCGTCATTTAAGAATTTTGCTTCGTGATATAGGCGTATTTTAATATTAGATTTCAATGATACATTTTATCAGCTTTATTTTATTATCGAAAATTTTTTGATTTCTTTTATGTTCAAACATAATATATAAAAGCATAATCAATCACATTAATGATTTTTAACGTTAAGAAATCTTTAATATTTTGTTTGACAAAAATAAAATGATTATTCTGTTTTATAATTTTTTGCACGCGCCTATAACTTTTACTACATCTTCCGAAGGAATTGTTAATTTTCCTCTGTTTTTCAATATAAAACATGCGAGAATACAAATATTGATAATTACGGGTTGTATAATACATTTACTTGTGGTAAGACATTATTTTGATTACAACACAAAATGCTATATTGAACCATTTTATGTAAAAAGTTATAATAAAATCGTGTTTATATTTATTAATAAACAAAAAATCGTCTCATAAAAATTTTAAGTAAACAATATGATTATGTGTTGGCATTTGAAATTTTTATTGGCGGAGGAAAGTCATGCGCATAAAAAGCAGTTACTGAGCAAGATAGAAAGATATTTTTATCCTTTAGATGTTGCTCACAGCTCAACGTCCGTATCTCCCTTCCATTTACTATAAGTTCTATGCACGTGACTATCTACTGTGACGCTGTATCAAGAAAGAGAAGTTGGATATTCAATTTCTAGCATCAACGTGACAAGCAAAATAGACAAGTCGGAAATACAGTGATACAAAAAGAAGAACACGACAAGTAGCTAGATTTAGATTTAAACAAGATGGAATCTGAAGAGGCGATAAATATTTATTTGTAAATAAATTTATCATATTAAATGTTTATTCTAATTAATTAAACATTTATTCTAAAATTATTCAATTTTTTTATCATTCTAAAATAAAAAGTTAGATTAGATTAAATCTGCAGAATATATATGCTTACTTATTAATTTGGACGAAAGTATCAAAATCAATAAGATATAAACAGAAATATTAGTAAAACATAATTTCAATGATTATTTGACACTCTAATATCCATACCAAGACAAAAAAAGAAAATTTTAATAACGTAGTGTTTATATTAAATTAGAAGTTATACTATGTAATGCTATATATTCTTTTATTAATATAATAATCTTCGTAACTTTCGAAAATATTAATTTTAATTATAATTTTCATCTTTTTTATCAAATTCCGTCATAATGTCAAGTATCCAAATTAGTTCACAAGTGTATATTTTCTAATTCTGTTCTATCACTGCAAAGACTAAAGACTGAACTGCGGCTGACACTGTGATCTGTGACGCTTAAAATTTAACGCTATAATCCTTTTGTGCTTTTCGTTATCAACGGCAATTTTGATCATGTGACCTATTTTGACGCTGAAAATAAGTATGGAGCGTTAGTATGAAAAGACACCTTTATAGTGCAGTCCCATGGTGCGGAATTTGCGCAATGCGGAATTGACAGAACGTTCATGCTTAGCCGTGGCTTCATTCCGTTCCGCTCAATGGGACATAGGAAAATAAATTCCTGCAGATCGGAAATCACACATACAGGGACTTCGTTTGTGTATCCATTTTGATTTTGATTTACATTTTCGTCTTTCTGTATATTATTTATACAACATTCGTATTCTAACCATATTGACCTCTGAATTTATGTGGAGACTTAATTACCTTCAGGGCTATGTTCGGGAATTACGCCACACTATAGTGTGCATTTTTGCATTTATAATATACACTATAATTTAGTTATCTGGATAATTCCCGAACGCAGCCCAGATTACCATCCGAGTCCCACCCAGATATCACTCTATTCTTGTTATTACCGAACATTAAATAAAGATGACATGACACTCGGAGAACACCCAGGTAGGAATCCGACATGCCTCATCATGTTGATTAACTATGCGCTTGTAGAAGACACTTTTCTCCGTTTAAATCAGCTTAATGAGGTTAATTTTTATAGATACATGTACACGCACACGCACACACGCAGGTATCGGCGGAATCTGCAAAAGAAATAAATTTGCGCAACAGAATACGATGGAATTGGCGGAATGGATCCATGACCAATCACGAACGTTCCGCCAATTCTGCACCATGGAACCGCACCATTTCTGCCAGCACTGAGAATCTATAGTTTTTGTTACTATACTGTGGCTGTGTTCGAAAATTTACTGCCAATAAAAATCTATAATTTACGTCATGTGCATTACAGATTTTCAGTACTGGCAGTAAATTTTGGAACATAGCCTGTATTGACACAACTGGCAGTAATATACGAACACGGGCTATGTTATCTTTTCCATTATGGATGCACCTACAGACTTTTATATACAAATAAATTAGTGTGACAAATAAATTAACAACGGTAATTAACAATAGAGTTATAACGTAGATAAAAACATACACATTGAAAAGGATCCAACTAGGATCGAAACGTTTGGTTTGTTTACCTTCTGATTATCAAATTATATTTTACGTTTTTAATTTTAAGACATAGTTTTATTTCAATTTTTTAAACTATTTATACAGTTTGTCAATTTATGTTTTAGGCTCGTAGCCCTTTTTCCTCTTTACTTATTTTGATTTATTGAGTCTTATTATTTTTCTAATTTAAGAAGAAAATAAATTCGAAAATAAATAAAAAAGATTTTTGTTTCTTGCAGTTTTTCTATAAAGTTGATAGTATTTGAGTAAAAAATTATTCAAGATCAATATTTAGCAATTTTTAATAATTAATATCTCGTTAACGTATTACGTAAAATGGTAGATGACTTTTTGACTCAATTCGATTCACTCTATCTGCTCATGATGGATGACGAAATATTGGATCATCTAAAAAGTAGCGGTTTTTTGTCACTAGATGTGTTGACTATCAACAGCATCAAAACCGCGGATACTTTTTAGATGACCCAATATATTAAAACCTGTATACTATTAGACTGCTAACTTGTTTGACAAATTAACCTAATTTAACAGTATTAAAACTACCAAGTACTTATTTTCATAATCCAGCTATTATAAATTATAATAATTTATAAGAAATTGAATACGATTACATCTTTTATACACGTTTACTAATACTACAATTTTTTATTTCAATTACTACAATTATTACTTCAATTGTCTTTCTAATATTTTTACTTGAACTCTTTCTCTTCCAAAAGAAACAATATTTTTCGCTATGAGATCACACCACTTTCATAAGGTTATACGTTTAGCATATGAACAGTTGATGCAAAACACAGCATACTGCATTCCTTTTGGTATATTTGTGACGCACGCGCAGAACTACCATACTTCGGGGTCCATAACTTTCACATAAGCGTCCTAAGTAAAAAACCTATAATCAGAGTGGCGCCATACGAGAGATAACGTCACATTTTAGTGAAATTCTGCGAGAGAGAAAGAGATATACGGTCTCAGTCTATCCAACAGACTGTCAGTTTTAGGGTTAGGTGCAACAGCATTGAACGACATAGATACGTAAAGGTACATTGATAAAAATAAAATTATCGAAATTATTTTAGAAATATGGTTAGATGTACAATACCGTTTTGTAACAATTCATTAAAAAAAGGATATGTTATGAAAATAATTCCGAAAGACACAGAACGCCGAATGAATTGGTTAAAGAGTATAAATGGCAAATATAAAAATTGGACACCGTCAAAAAATTCATCTGTATGTGAGGTAAAGTAATTTATTCTTTATAAATAATGTATTTAAAATATTAAAATAAAAATGTAACATAAAATATACACAGATTAATTATAATATCTGAAGTGTCTTGGCACTAAGTATATATACAGTCATCACATTGGTTACGAATTTAATTCTTTCTTTTTTTGTTGTAATCTTTTCAATTATATATCATTGCATTGTGAGTCTAAATCAAATAATATGATAATTACGATATTTAATATATAATATTTCATGAAATGGTATATACATATATAATATTTTTCTGAATTTTTGATTTCTTTTATATTATTACAGATGCATTTTGCTCCTAAAATGTAGGAACAGAGAATGGATAATAAACTAGCGTATTTAATAGCGCAAATAATGTACAATAAATAACGTTTTGTATAAAGTAATGTGCAATATTACAAAATGTACAATATTGCAATAGTACAAAATAAATGAAATTTTATAATAAATAATATATGTAAAAGTTTTATTATTTTATATACAATATTTATTTATTATCATTTTTTAATTTGTCACAATTGTTAAGCATTTTTTAGCATGAATTCAAAATTTAGAAAATAATGCGTTTAAAAAATTAGAGGGAATGGCTAAAACATGGCGGACCAATCACAAGTGATACCCATATGGCGTCACTCTGATTGTAGGCTCTCTAGTCCTAAGGAGTTAGCAGTCTAGTAATATATATAGAAGTCTGTGGATGCACCCTACGCAATCTTCTCACCATGCATCGGGATTCGGCCATAGAAAAAAACATGTATATTATATCTTGAAATATTGGTCGAATTATTTTCGACTGAAGAAAGTGCCAATTAAAATTTAAGAAAAAGATAAAGAAAAAGGTACAATTATAACACCTAGTCACAAAAGGGAAAATTGTATCTAAGCATATATATCTACGATAATAGCTACAAAAATAGCAATTTGTGTTTGTTCGGAGTATTATGAAAAGTAAAATAAATACTTATTTACCAGGTAAATTACCACTTAATACACAATTACGCATGACAATAAAAACACTTTAATGAGATATTTTGTACATTTTCAGCCGTATCACCATCGCTTTCTCCATGGATAATTGTGATTTTGTCACTTTGTTTTGTTAACAGTTATAACGGAGACTTTGTTTTTGACGATACCGAGGCTATTGTCAATAATGTTGATGTGCGTAAGACACCGTTCTGGGATATATTTCAAAATGACTTTTGGGGTACTAAATTATCCCACAAGCAAAGCCACAAATCATATAGACCTTTCACCATACTTAGTTTCAGGTAAAAGAATATTATTAAATATAATCATAAAAAAATATATATGTATGCACATATATGTGTGTGTCGTGTGAATTATACACTATCGTTTATATATGTAAGAATTTGAGAATGCTTACATTTTACAAAAACTTTCAAGAATCTCGATGAAAAAAAAATAATCGTAGAGAAGTTTTTAAAATTGAATTTTAAAGAGGAACGATACAGCTTTTAATTGACATTCGAATTATGCTTTTACAATATATTTTTTTTAATTATATAAAATTGAAAATTTATATTTTTGTTTATTTGTTTTATTTTAAAACATACTTTAATGAAACATCATTGGAAAAAATTTAACAAACAGTCTAAAGTAGATTTTTTAACTTTAAACATTTTCTTTTACAAAAGATTTATACAATTTTTCACAAAGAATCTTATTAAAAAATTTATTTTTTCTAAAATATCTTGAGTATTTCGTGTCCGATCGATTCCTATCCGTGCAAATTTTTTGCAAATTCAACGAATTAAATTACATATAGTACTGACATTTACATATCATTATATATACTATATTTTATTATTTTCTAAAATAAAGTTGAAACATTGTTGTAGAAAATTAAAAACATGTTCTTATAAATATGTTATATGTTTTCAAGTATAAATATTAAATTACTGACATACATATTTTTTAATAATATAAAACACATAATTGCTTACTTAAAAAATTATCCATTGTGCCTACATATTTTTTAAAGACAATTATTTATTTTCTTTACACCAATTGATTCATCTCATTATTTTGTTCATAAAAATATCAAGGTACGATTATAAAAAAAAATTAATAGTTATGAGATATTTCTTCAGAGGAGCAGTTCAGTATAAGTGCACTCCTTGTCCTGATGAAGTGAACGGCAAAGTTCACAAAACTGGTATTAGCAATAGATGAAAACACAGTGACAACCCACAAATCTTCTGTATCTTTGAAGATAATATCCGTGAAAGCCTAAAAAGCTTTATTGAGATATTTAATATTTTATTTCACAACAGATACAAACATGATTACATTTTGGCAGGATGCTTACGCTTTAGGAATAAGACCCGACCGTGTACAACAAATACAATAAAGAGTGCCAATGATCGATCAAAGTTTAGGTTTTTCGAATAATATAGTATTCTTGATTTTATTAAATTTAAGATATAATCGCGTTCGATCATTCGCATATATGAAAATCAATTTATCTCAGATGTGAAAATCAATCTACCTCAGATGTGTGCTTATGCTTTATTCAATATATCATTGTTTCTTGTTGCAATTTCATATTCTTTTCGCTAATATAAATAAAAAGTGCACATGGATTATTTATGTTTAATGATTAAATGTTATTTATTATTATTATTATTATTATTAATTATTAACCCATATTATAAAAGAATCAAATAAATATTCAATTTTAAATTAATAAAAAAGTTAAAAAACAATTTGTTAAAAGAAAAAAATTCAAAATACTTTATTTTGGTTATACAGATGTGATTTTCTAAAGTTTGTATATGGCAGATCGTTTGTGTATGTAATATCAAAGCCAATAGCTTACTGCTCTAGTCTTACAACTTTTTCACAACTTTTTTATCACTTCTCGGATAAATAATTATTTTCATCCTTCTTAAATCTTAACGAAAGATTTTTAAAGATTTAGGTTCCATCGCGAGGCAGAATTTGGCCTTATTCACTGTATGATTTTATATTACATGTTCAAATTAAAAATAATAAATAATTTAATTAAATTTAATAGTTTAATATTTCATAAATCTATAAATAGTGTTAAAAACACATTAAAAAAATAATGTTTTAAACATAAATGTTTAAAACGTAACAACTAGAGGTATGCGGATATCTTAGATTTCGAGTTTAGATCGGTGGGAATTTTTTTTGGGATCAGGTCAGGACCCGAATATTTGTAATGTTCGGGTACTCGTAAATTTCATGTACCCGAATTTAAAATCGGATCAGACAGTGATCATAGAAACTTTTGAACGACATAAATGTGATACTTCTTCATGATCTTTCAATCGAGTTTTCCACTTAAACTATAGCATAATTAATTAAATTTAAAAGTCCACAAGGACAACAATTCATGATATATATATAAATTGCAAAAATATATTATTTTACAATTGCTGCCAGTATTGGAAATCTTGTATGATTGCATTTTCACATATCTATTATTGCATCGATATTTCGCCGAAGAATTCTTTCCGAAAAATAAATTTTCATTTCTTTATTTATGTCGAAATGAAAATATGGTTATTTTTCTTCTTCTACTCTACTTATCATGAAAAAATTTTATTAATTTTGATTTCGATTGTCCTATGAAACAAATCCCGAAAAAAATTTCCGATCCGAACTCGAGGCTGCCCATAATTTTGGATACCCGCACACCTCTAGTAACAACCATGGTGCATGTGCACACGCATTTGAATACATACCTACATATGTTTGCACACATGGGTATTTTGTGTGCAAGTACGCATATATGCATGCAAATGCGCGCGCATACACATAGAGATAAACACGAGATCAGATATCTACCATGTTTCCCTGATTGAGTTACGCTTACAGCAGTTAAAGTTTATTTTTCCTTACTTTCAAAATTATTTCAAGATCAATAAAAGCATTCAAGAAGAAAATGTTTAAGACGAAAGTTTCGAGTTTTTTCGCGTAGAATCTGCAATAAAAAAATACTATGTTGCATTTTTAAAAAACAACTTCCTATTTAGATACTTCATTTCCGATCAAAACCGGAAGTTGAATATATCATCATTCGATTCTGTGTACTCGATATACTTATCACAATTTTTGATACTTCTCATAAAGATCACTTCCCTTCATTTTAAAAGGAGTACATGGATAGTCTGGAACATTATATTTACATATATTATATGTATATATAATGATACTTTGTCATGAAACTATAAAAATTAATTTCCTCTTCTTTCTCTGTAGATTACAATTCTGGTTACGACAAGACTTAGTTTCGCAGGACTATCATGTAGTAAATATAATATTGCATAGTATGATTTGTCTACTAACTTTATTTGTATACAATATATTTTTGGGACCAGAAGGACGGAGCATTTCATTTTACGCCGCAGCCTTATTTACAGTTCATCCAATTCATACAGAAGCTGTAATTATAATTATAAATGCATCATTATCATTATATATATTAACCTGGAAATTATATTAATTTGAAATTATTTTTATATCACAGCAGAATAAGAAACTGATGTCCCTATTCTATACTCTTAAGGCCAGTTTCATCATCTTGATCCATAAAATACAACATTGTCGTAAGAATTAATGAGTCACAGTTGATATTTAATTTATTAATCAAGATCTAATCTAAAATGGTAAAATCAGTTCTTAACACACGGCAGTATTGGTAGTTTTATTGTAAAAAAGTTAGCAACGACAGTATAATGATATTAACACGTCGTTAAGAGTTATAAAATAGAACCTAAAGTTCAGTTATAATAGTTACAATAGATTACAGATCAAGTAATTTGTATCTATTTTTCTCTTTTTTTAAGAAAATATTGAATATTAAGAATAAAACTATATATACATAATGATTTCAAATATTAAAAAATTATACAACAATCAGTATACAATATGTAGTTAATAACAGTGAACTGTAAAAAAAAATTCAGGTGATCATTCATGTGAAAAAATTAGATGACAATTCCCAGGTTAATCTTTACATATCAGTACTTATATATCAGAATATAATTATAGTTATTTCTTCATACGTTAGGTATCTGGAATTGTCGGACGTGCTGAATTATTATGTGGTTTGTTTACATGGCTATCGATCTTGTTGTATAATCATACGATATATGCAAAAAATATATTACATGCATGGGTTGCTATGTTCAGTTTTATTATTTGCATAACTGCAGCGATACTGTGTAAAGAAACTGGTATTACTGCTATTGTAAGTATTAAAATTGCGTTCTTAAACTAAATTTTTTAAATATGACAATAACAGATATTTGTCTTTATCTTTTAGGGTATTTGCGCAATATATGATATAGTTATTGTGAATAAAATATATCCAATTGACGTAATTAATTTTTTTT